GGTTCTCAGCTGGGGCTGGGGAGGGGCCCCCCGCGGGGCTTGGCCTGGTGAGACGGCCCCGCTGGGCCCCCCAGGTGTTCTTCGACGTGCGGATCGGCGAGGATGACGTGGGGCGCGTTGTCATCGGGCTCTTCGGCAAGACGGTGCCCAAGACAGTGGAGAACTTCGTGGCATTGGCCAACGGGGAGGTGAGGAGCTGCTGCTGGCCTGCCTGGGCCTCACCCAGCCCCTGGGGCAGAGCTGGGTGGCAGGAGCTCTGCTCTGCCCCTTTGCCTCACTTTTTTCCCCTCCCCACTCCCAGAAAGGGTTTGGCTTCAAGGGTAGCAAGTTCCACCGTGTGATCAAGGACTTCATGATCCAGGGAGGAGACTTCACCCGTGGAGATGGCACTGGAGGTAATTTGGCCCCCACCAGCTGCTGTCTTGAAGTGAGTGGCTGTTCTCCCAGCCCACTGCCTGGCTGCGACTGGGGACTAATGGGGAGCTGCAGCACCGTGGCAGAGTGGCAAGGAGAGGGGGCAGCGAGGGGACACAGCTCAGGGGCAGTGAGGGGACACACAGCTCAGAGACCCAGTCCACCCGAGTCCTGCCTGTGTAACTGTCCCCTCTGTGCCACCCTCACCCCTACCCTGACACAGCAAGAAGCCTGGTTTTTTTCCTCCCCTTAGGAAAAAGTATCTACGGGGATCGTTTCCCTGATGAGAACTTCAAGCTGAAGCACTACGGGCCTGGCTGGGTGAGCATGGCCAACGCTGGCAAGGACACCAACGGGTCCCAGTTCTTCATCACCACGGTGAAGACACCGTGGCTGGACGGCAAACACGTGGTGTTCGGCAAAGTGCTGGAGGGCATGGTAAGGGGGTGTCCCGTGGGGCTGGGGGCTGCCCTGCCCCTGCTGCTGCTCTCCCACCTCTGCCTGGGAGGGGAGGCAGTGCAGGGGCAGTGAGGGGGCACACAGCTCAGGGGCAGTGAGGGGACACAGCTCAGGGGCAGTGAGGGGGCACACAGCTCAGAGACCCAGTCCACCCGAGTCCTGCCTGTGTAACTGTCCCCTCTGTGCCACCCTCACCCCTACCCTGACACAGCACAAAGCCTGGTTTTTTTCCTCCCCTTAGGAAAAAGTATCTACGGGGATCGTTTCCCTGATGAGAACTTCAAGCTGAAGCACTACGGGCCTGGCTGGGTGAGCATGGCCAACGCTGGCAAGGACACCAACGGGTCCCAGTTCTTCATCACCACGGTGAAGACGCCGTGGCTGGACGGCAAACACGTGGTGTTCGGCAAAGTGCTGGAGGGCATGGTAAGGGGGTGTCCCGTGGGGCTGGGGGCTGCCCTGCCCCTGCTGCTGCTCTCCCACCTCTGCCTTCCCCAGGACGTGGTGAGGAAGGTGGAGGGCACCAAGACAGACAGCCGGGACAAGCCCCTGAAGGACGTTGTCATCGCCGACTGCGGGACCATCGAGGTGGAGAAGCCTTTCGCCATCGCCAAGGAGTAGGATCCGCCGTCGGGCCGCGCAGGGCCTGCGCCCCAGGGACCTGCCCGGGGGGGCTGTGGGGCAGGGGCTGCCCCCTCTGCCCCTCCCTGTCCTACCAGGGAGCAGCAGCAGAGCCGCTGTGCCCCGTGTCCCCACTGCCCAGGGACCAGTTCCTCTCCCTGTCACTTTTGTAAGAAGCACACGCACCAATAAATGTGACCAAGGTGTTTTGTAGAGAGTTGCTGCTGCTCCCCTGCTCTCAGAGGTGCTGATCACCTCAACCAGGCACATCCCTTGCTCCTCCCACCAAGTTCTTTCAGCTTTCATCAATCTGTGAGTGGTCTCAGGTTTCATAGATTCATGGAATGGTTTGGGTGGGAAGGGACCTTGAAGATCATCTAGACCCGGGCCCCATCCAACCTGCCCTTGAACACTTCCAGGGATGGGGCAGCAACAACTTCCCTGGGCAACCTGGGCCAGTGTTTCTCCTCATATCTAACCTAAATGTCCCCTCTTCCAGTATAAAGCCATTCCCCCCCTTGTCCTCCCACTTCATGCCCTAGGGAACAGAGCACAAACACCTTCTGCCCACCAAGCCCAAGTGATTTATTGCACCAAGTCGAGGTGCTGAAGGGTTTTCCAGCATGGTTTGGTGGCCAGAGGCTCCTCCCACAACCACACGCCATCTGGTCCGAAGGCAGAGCTTCCATCTCCCAGCAATGGAGCTTTCATGGTCCTGCAGAGCAGCTCCCACCATACCCCAGGCTTCTCCCATGGTTTTCCTGCCCCATCCCAGCTCTTGCTGCACAGAGCACGTTTTGACCACAGGGATCCTTCCTGCTGGGTGGGAGCTCAGGAGCCAGGCAGGCCGGGGGCTTGGGGTGCTGCTGGGCTGGGGGGCAGGTAGAGGCCCTGCAGCACCCCCCTGAGCACCGTGTTGGGGAGCAGCTCTGTGAGGAAAAAGGGGGGAGCTGGAGCAGCTTTGAGTTGCTCCTGGGGCCCCCACAGGAAGCACATTTTGGGGGCCCTGGAGCCTTGCCCTGATGGGGACCCGTGGGGCTGCTCACCGAGGGCCGGGGGCTGCGCGTAGGGGTCAGCGCAGAAGCCCAGGACGGGGCGCTGGGAGGGGGGGTGGCAGGGGCTGCGGTGGGACAGGGGACATCAGCACCCGGCAAAGGGTCCTGCTGTCACCCCCCCGCCTGTCCCCATCTGCCCAGCTCCCTGTTTGGGGTGCTCAGTGCAGGGGGTGGGTGGTCCCAGCGCCCTGCGGGACAACCCGGGCACGGGCAGAGCCCAAAGGGGCTCAGGGACTCACGGGGGGCAGCTGGGAGGGGGGTCCTGGCCTCGGCGCAGCTTCAGGAAGTCCAGCACGTCCTGCGGCAGCTCCTTG